CCCGGTGTTTGCCATCGGGATTGGGTTTTCGTCGCTTGGCAACGACGTTATAAAACAAGCCAACGAGCTCGGCAACCAGCTTACCGGGGTTTTTTTTTCTGGTTTTTTCTTGGCGGAAACCATAGACNCGAAAATCCTTAGCAGGATGCAGCGCACCGTTCATGCGACTCGCCGAATATCTCACGGCGCTTCGCGCTTGGTGATGTGAGAGCCTGGTCCGGTGAGAACCCGGCGTGCTCCGTCCCGGCTTTGTAGGGATGAGAGGTCAGTGGTCTAACGACTACGGCATGCGCGACTATGAGTACACCCCCCACCTCGGTTGTGGAGCAATCGAGCGGTTCAGGGCGTGTGGTATCTTACGGTGTCACGCGGCACCGGCGTATTCCTCATTGGCGATAAAGCAACACAATGCCAATGCTGTCGTGCCTCCCGTGTGTAGCTCTTTATCCACGCCTCACCGTGCAAGTGAAGACGATGGTCATCTTCTCCTCCCGGGTCTGCTCCGACCCCGGAACGTCTAGAAACCTCACGACGTTTGGCTTGTCCTCGCTGCCTTGCGCCGTCGACCCGGCCCCCACCGGCACCCGGTCCTCCTCGGGCATCATCTCGCGTTCATCCTCCGCCTTGTTGTCGGCGGCAGCAGCAGCATCAACGTGGGTAACGTGGACGTCAAGCTTTCCGGTGCTGCTGCCGCTGCCGCTGCTGCTGCTGCTGTTGGTACAGAATGCGGGTTGTTGCTGTGCATGGCGGCGTTGCCCTCGTGGGGTGGTGGTCGTGGACAGCAAGGAGGACGGCCTGGCTGCTACCAACGGCGGGATTGACGACGACCAGCTGGACCTTGCAGGACAGCTGCTGCTAATCGAAGAGTAGCCGCGGTGCTGCTGTTGGCGTCGACGCAGTAGCAGCAACGACGGCGCCGTTGTGCTGTGACCTGCTGGGCACGAGCTCAAGAAGACTCCACTGCTGCAGCTGTCGTTGATGTTGCTGCCTTCGATGGCCGTCGGTTTGGTGCAACTGAGCTCGCGGCTGCTGCTACTGCTGCCCGACAAAACTAAGCCACGAACTCGCGACCTAACAGAAGCTGATACTCGTGATGCCATGGGGACATAACGTGTGAGTGCGTGTTGGGAGAGACGGCGGAGGGGCGGGGTTGTGCTGCCCTTGCTGCCTTTAGGGACTTCGCAGTTGGCACAGTGCGGGAAATGTAGGTATCCTGGTGGTCGTGGGACAGCAGCATGCACAATACGGGCGCCCTAAGAGAGACGCCAGACACAACAACCTTTTCACCAACACAAGCAGTGAGTGGGACTACACGTCACTCGTTGGGCCCTAGACTTCAAAGGTAGTTGTCTCTCGTCCCTTAGTGCACGCTACTACTTTTAGAAGGATCGCGCTCAGGGCATTGTGATATAGATGGAAACACGCACGCATGCTCGTTCCCGCCAAAACTCGCGGCCGGCTTCAGGGCCGTTGTCCATGTCATATGTATCCCTGTAGAAGCATCAGCACCAGACGCAGTCACGTTCGGATCCAGTACCAAAGCTTCGCTTTGGCTGCTGTCTTTAAAACAAAAATGTTTGGTGTGTTTGCTTCCTGTCGTCTGGTACAGCCTAGCGCGAGAAGAGAGAGAAAGAATGGCGCAGCAGGAGTCGAAAGCCGCCGTTGGCGATATCAGGGGTATCACCAACGGCCAAGGTGGGGCAGGAGCCAAAGCAGGAGCAGGGGCGACTGCTGTACCGCGTAGCCCATCCCCCGTCAAGCAGCGGAAGAGCACGGTGATCCCCATGTCGCCGCCGCCTCGCACCCCGGAGAGCGTGAGCAGCACCGCTGTCGTGGAGTCTCCGTCTGCTGGTGGTGGAATGATTGATCGGCGCCAACTCTTCGACGGTGAGCCATGATACTATGTACACGCAGACACTTAGCTTGGAATGAGAGCGATCCGACGTGTAATGTGCTGCCACCAGGCCATACGATGAGCTGGTGGACTTCTCCTCTTGCATTGCTCTACGCCTCCAGAGTAAACCAGCGATCTATGGTGTATGATCCATCCAATCTATCTCATGGACGGCGATGGCGGTGTTGGTGTGCTCCCGACTCTGCCGAGGGCAACACCAATTATCCCGCAGGGGACAGGCGTTGTGGGACATGAGATACGACCGTGACCCACACCACCAGCGGAACCAGCTGAAGAGGCACGATGCTGAGGCTTGGCTTAGCGTTAACCGAACGCTCGCAGTGTGTCGCTCCTCTGTGCCTTTCGAGGAGAAGGATCCCACGAACAACTCGAAGTACATTGGGCTCAACCAACCGCATTTTCCGCCATTGTTTCACCTATGCACAAAAGTAGAATGAAAAGCCACGCCGTTACAAGCGTTTTCCAAAAATGCTGAGATCTGCACACACCAAAGGCCAGACGAGAGCTTGACAAATAGGAAAGTATGATCTGGCCATGGCTATCCTGAGTTTCATCGGTTGCAGCATTCCTCAAGGTATTGGATCTGTTTGTGAGGACATCGACAGTGTTTTCGCGCCAAAACCAACGGAAAAGATCACGCCGCGTGCACTCCGGGGCCGCACAAAAATAAATGAGTACAAATTGCCGATCCTCACGTATGTATGCATATGCATACGCCAACGAACAGCGCGTGCTCAGGGGCCCAGCACGAAGGTTGTCGAACCCACACGACGGTTGCCCCAACCGATGCCTAGCTGCACCCATGTATCAACCATCCGGATGTATACATTATCTTGGGAAAACATGGCGTGCACTACGTGGGAACGCATATGTTTCGACCAAAATTTGACAACGTATTCTAGATCCTGCCCGTGGTGAAGCAAACGTTGGCGGTGTACCCGCACGCACACGTGGCTAAATAGCACCTCAGCGCTTCTATATTTCTCCTAGGATTTCTTGTTGTGCTCGTTGTACGGAAGTGATTCTGTTGATTTCTTCTCCTTATTCGTGCGTGGTGCAAGCTTGCGCGGTGCATGGGGCCCTGTTATCTATGCTGTGAAGATCAGCCTCCTGCATTGAGGTTGCTCTGCATGTGTTTTATTGCCGAGACTTTTCCATGCCTAAACAACGCTTCCAGATAGTTCTTCGCGGTCATTCGGGTTGGTGATAAACTCTCTCTGGGCCTTTGTCAAGCAGATTTGGGTCTATTTCTACAGCAAATGTTGGATTGGCTTGTCTCTACAGAGCTCGGAATTTATGGACTTATCTCTGTTGAAGAGTGCAGAAGGGGGAAGATAGCGGTCACGAACGGGAAATTCATCTAACGACAATAAACAACAACAGAGCAACAACGAAAACACAAAGCACTTTTCCTCGCCAATGGCGGGACTTCTCTTGTCCATTTGCTTTGTTTTTCGTTCCGCACACTGCTCTGTCGGTGGTCATTTATTGACGGCACGGAAATCCGCTTCTGACTATACAGAATTATTAAGAGGAGGACATGTCATCGAAGCTGTTTAGAATAGCGTTCAGGCAGAAGGCGAAAGCGACAGCGACAGCAACGATGGTGATGACGGCTTCTTATGCTTTAAAATCGTCAAAATATGTCGATGCCTCCTAACATCTGCTTTTGTCGATGACCCACTGACAACCTGTAGTGGAGACGAAATATTGAACCCCGAGAAAAAATCTGTGGTACATGCGATATAGATTGAGCCAAGCACGGTAGAAGGATGGCAATGAGAGAACAAGCTTAGTTGCGAATTTCCTCCTGCGTAACCCCGGATAGTGCGCCCAGGATGCACCGAAAGGTGCAAACACCAAACGTCCAGAATGAATCCATGTATTAATATGGCATGAACCGTCACCGATCAAGATATGTTTTCTGTTTTGGTCAAGTTCACTGCTGTGGGCTGCCGACACGAACACTCCTCTCCTTGCCCTGGTTTGGATTCCGAATGAACCCGTCATCGGTGTTGTTGCTTCTTTTGTAATGACAGGTGCCGACAGCGGCAGCGGCAGCGGCAGCGGCAGCGGCAGCATGCCGCCGCCCCCGACCACGCCCAAGTCTAGAGGACGTGGTGGTCGAAGAGCGCAGTCCAAGACGCCCGCAAAGCGCGGAACGCCTAAGGACGTGAAGGTCATGCGGCAGGGGGGG